CTGTACTATTGTGTTTTAATTGTATTTTAGTAGCCCTGATGAAGGGGGAGGGGAAACCCTGAAACGCGTTGGTTTTTTCTTTCAGTTATTTGATGAATGATTCAAGTTTTCTTGGGCTGGTTTGTAGGTTGGCGCTCTTTGCTCTATCTTTCTCTTTTTGGATTCTGATTCTGGGTACCCCAGTTAGGGTGACCCTGTCTGATGAGAGCAGCACCCCCGGGGACAGTGAGCCTTAGAAACTGGGTGGGTATCCCCTAGGGATGCACCGATACCGATACTAGTATCGGTATCGATACCAAGTATTTGGGCGAGTACTCGTACTCGCCCAAATGCTCCGATACCTAGCACGAGTACTTCCTGTATCAGGAAGCAGGGCAGCGCGTAATGATGATTGGCCAGGAAACGGCTCCATGCTCTCTCGTCACTTGTGATGAGAGAGCATGGAGCCGACTTCCCGGCCAATCAGGAAGCCAGGTAGGGTGCAATGACGCGCTGCCCGGCTTCCCGATTGGTCAGGAAGCTAGCAAATCCGGAAGCCGGGGCGCCGTGTAATGGCGCAGCGCCCGGCGTTCTGATTGGCCGGGAAGCCGGCGTCATGCTCCCTCGTCATCTCATGAATCATAACATTAAGAAAGTGACCTTAAAGCATTCGTTTGTATTGCTTTAGAAAAAATGTGACCTGTCCCTTTAAGAAAAAGTATCGGTAATTGGTATCTGTGAGTACTTGATCAAAAGTATCGGTACTCGTACTCGGTCTTAAAAAAGTGGTATCGGTGCATCCCTAGTATCCTCAAACATCACACAGCTGGTTATCGGGATTCTGTGTGCCTCTCCAATACCTGTTCTGGGCTAAGCAGTACAAGCTTAACAGGATGTGCGCTAACCCTTCCCGCACTCTAACTCTTCCCACACACCAAAACCCTTCCTGCACTCTCAGCCATCCCTCTCCCTTACCCATCCTGCACTCTAACCTTTGCCACACTCTCACGCTTTGCCCGCACTCACCCTTTCCCCACACTCACCCCTCCCCCCACTCTCACCCTTCCCACACTCCATTCAAAACCTTGAAGGTTATGTAACCCCCCAACAACGGACTTCTGTTATTTCCTCCTTTTTGGTCTGTTTAATGCACCAATAAAAGCACTTATGTGTTTTCAGTTCATCAGGTGCAAGAAATCTCTGTTGATCCTGCCAGAAATCTTGTCAGCTGATCAGTTTATGCTCTCGGCTTCTGCCGAACTCTTATCAGCTATCTCTGAGGACTGCAGAACACCTTCCCCCTGTGTCATGGAGAAGGGGAGAAGGGGAGGTGTTCTTTAGCCCTGTTCTAGGGTGGCAACTAAAGTTGAGCTTAGGTTTGATTGGACCGGGTTTGGTCTTTACCTGAGCTGCTCTGAACTCCTGCCCACAGCTGCACTTAAAAGGAGAACTATGGGGGTCAGGGCTTTTCCCCATAGTTCTCCATAGGGTAACGGGAGGACACAAACTAGCGCCCTCCCGTCACCCTAAGCTCAGTATATAGGGAGCTACAGCTCGCGGTATACTGAGACGCCGCAGTCTCAATTGTGTCTGGATCCGCCCAGCTGCGTGACTGACAGCTGGCTCTGCCTATCTAGAGGCAGAGCCAGCTGTACCCGCCCCCTCCCCCGTCCGTTCTGCCAGTCAGGGCTGGAGGATCAGAGCGGGGAGAGGGCAATCCCGCCCCTCCCCCTGTCACGGCTGTAGAGAGTCGTGAAAGGATCGAGAGGTGAGCAAACGCCGGTATATGTTCGCTCACCTCCCGATCTACTGAGCTGACCTGTGACAGTCTCATTGTCACAGGTCGGCTAGAACTATGAGGTGAGTGAAAAGCACGC